GGCGGCAGCGGGGGCGGGGGCGGGACCGGACCCCCAGGCGCCCGAGCGCCGATCGGAGCGGACTCCGGCAGGTGGCCTCGCTTCCCTCGCCGCCTGGGTCTCCCAGAACACTAGGAAGGGAGGGGCGGGGGGTCCCCGAAGGCGTCCTCAGCTTCCCAAGCCCGACTCGGCGGAGGTCACTGCGTCGGAGCTGGGGTGCCGCAGCCGGCCCCGGTCTCCCTCGCCCCGGCCGAAAACGCGCCTCCCGGAGGGACAGGTATCCGCGGGAGGAGTACGGCGACACTCGCGGCCGGAGTGGCTTACGTTGTCCCCCTAGCGGCCGAGGGCCAGAGCGTGCCCGTGGGAGCCCCCGCCATCGCTGAAGGCGAATCCGGGACGAGGGGGCCAGGTTTTGCCGGAGCCCCATTGTCGTTGCCTGGAGGTGACGAGGAGGAAGAGCCGCTCGCTAGCTGCGGAGCGAAGCCCTGGGCGCCCAGCGGGTTCTGGGTGACCGCGGGTCCGTGGGTGTTGCTGAGCCCGGGGGAGCAGGGCCAGCTGTGGCCTGTGTCACACGCAGAAACGTGGGAACCCAAGACTCTTCTGCGTTTATTCACTCATCCACAGATAAACACCTGCTGCCCCAGGAACTCGTGAAATCAGGAGTGCAGGAGGATCTAGACCGTGGTTACTGGGCTGTCCCGAAAGTGCGGCTCTAATGCTAAAAACCAAATTCTATGGCTTGCTTTCTGTGCATTTTAGGTGCTTGATCAAATTTAACATGCAGGGTAGGGCTGTGCGGGCCCCACTTCTCCGGTGAAGAAACTGAAGCTTACAGTGTTTAAGCCGCCCCGCACTCAGCGGAGAGACCCAGGAGATGACGCTCGGGCCCATTTGCCAGCCCAAGGTGCCCGGGTCCAGAGAAGCAGCGGAAGCCGGGCTCTGAGGGGGCCCAGCCGGGGAGGAGGTGGAGAGCTCCCCGCCGGGATGCAGGTCTTGGAGTCGGGGCCCCATGAGCAGCACGCAGTATCCAGAACGCGCTCTGGCCTGCTGGGACTTTCTGCTCCGCCACCCCTGCCCGCCGCTGCGCTGCTGGGCCTGACCTCGGTGCTGGGTGGCCTCTTCCTGGCCTACAGCCCGCATTTTGGGCCAGAAATCAAGCATGTTGAGCAAACTGACTTTCATCGCAACAGCTGCAGCTTCATTCCACGACAGTGTCAAGAATGCTCCTTGACCTGAGAGTGACGGGTCAAGGTTCCCACTTAGCGAACAGCAATGATCCTGTCAGCGTTCCCTGTTTCCAAGGCGTCCAGACCCATAGTCCTCAGCGTTTCCCCGCAAAAAACCCTTGTATTACTCTCTACCGCCGCCACTGTGTGAAAGAGCGATACTGCAGCCAGCCACGTTCGTTAAATAATTAAGATCAGTTAAGTATCAAGCAAGGGGTTTCCACTCTCCCGTGCCCAGCGCTCAGCAGGCACCGCCACCCTCAAGGTTCTACCCAGGGAGCCCCCTCCAAGAAGCTTTCTTCCTACTGGATTCAATTGCTCGCTTGTTGCAGGTGTGCAGGATGCCGTACACTGTGCTGGGCGCTGGGGAACGGTGGTGACAGGTAGGAGGCACAATCTAGGCCCACGCAGAGCTCAGGAGGGAGGCAGACCCCTCAGTGGGCAAGTGGGGAGCAAGACACCCGGAAGGAACACCCGCCAGGCAGAGGGGGGCCTCCCGCTGGAGGAGCGCCTGGGCTGAGCCCTGACAAGGAGGGAACCAGCCAGGGGAAAGTGGAAGCCCAGGAGCAGGACAGCACAGCCACAGTGCGGGAGGTCCACAGAGAGGGCGGGTCAGGAGAGCAAGCGCCGGGCCTTGGTGGCCAAGGAGAGAATCAGCCGTAAGCCCAGAAGGGTTCCGGCAGCAGCATGGCAGAACGGGAGCTGAGGCCCAGGGACATCACAATGGCTGAGTAAGCAACGGATGCAACGGGTGCGTCTCCTGTACACAGCCGAAAGCAGTGTGTCTTCTCCCTACTAAAGGCAAACACCTTGACTTCCTGTTTTATAATTCAGGGTTTCCAGAAACTGGAGCACAGCTGCGCATGGGGCATGCAGACTGGCAGCACATCGGGTTTATGCCCCAGGGTTTACAGGGCTCCCCCGCAGCTGGCTTGGGGAAGGGAGGAGGGCTCAACTCCTGGACTCGTTGGGAGTCTGGTGGAGGAAGAGAGGACGCAGACCAAGGGTCTGGGGTGGAGGAGAGCATAGGCAGGAAGCAAGGTGAAGAGACAGAAGACACCAAGGGTCAGCCACCTCTTCTCCCTGAAGTAGTTGCTTCTTGAATTCAGCTGTTCTTCCTAACTCTGCAAGATGGGATAGAGCGGGACGGGGCGGCCGCTTCACTCAGTCCTTATTTGGGAGATCTGCGGTGTCTGTGGGAGACCCCGCGTGGAGGAGGGGCAGGGGATGAGCTCTGGCTGAGAGCGGACAGGGAAGCAGCACGGAGGGGCATGACAGGGCAAGGGCAAGACGCGGAGACCCCGGGCCGGCCTCCGCGCGCCTGCTGCACTTGAACACTTGCTGCGTTTACTGTGTGTGATCATGCATTTACCACCCTCTGACCATGTAATACCTCATTAAAACACGTTAAATATACCAACGGGGATAAAGATAAGATTAAAACCCACGCACAGGCACACTGCGCTTATGTCCTTTTGCATCTGACACTTTGTGAGGCTCTTGCTTCGTCTTAAGCAACTCGGCAGCATGAGTGTTAAAGGCTGCTGCGGGGGGTGAATGTGCCATCTTCTTGTAATTAATCCCTCTGACAATTGATCCCTGTTGGCGCTTGTTTTGCTTCTCGTTTCTCAGTGTCAGGGTAACGTGTGGTGGTGAAAATCTTTGCACAATAAACTTGGACACACGTTTCTGGTCACCTCCTAAAGATGAAAACCCTAGACATGGACTTCCAGGAAGAGACCCTGGGCCTCTGCTGGTAGCGGTGCTCTGCACTGACCGACCCGCCCCACCCGTTCTTGACATCTGAAGGCAAATGGCGCAGCCCTAGCTTGGTGTGGTCCTCACGCAGGGAACGAGTGAGGTGCTGGCCTTCGTGTTCTGGCCTAATCACAACGCTCTGCAAGCGTTTCTCTCAGGAGAAACCCTGAGACTGAGCTTGAGCGGTGGAGCGGAGTACAGAGACTGTGGGGTCGAAGACGACCAGGTCCCCGTCCTCCCCAGCCTGTCCTGGAGGCCGATTGTCACTTGAGGACACAGCCTGTGAGGAGGCTGAGGTGAGCGTGGTGGTGGTGCACCAGTCACTCAGCGCACACCGGTGTCAGTGACAGGAGGAGCTGGCACGAGCCAACCCCACGTCTGCAGAGATCTGTCATCCGGCTGCAGATGGCACACAGCACACGGGCACAGTGACCTCGAGAGGAGCCGTCCAGGGGGAAACGTGCGGTAGCCTAGCAACCTCGCGGGGATCCTAGTACATGGACGGAGCCTTATCTCAATTCGCAGTTTGAAATCTTTCTTCCTTTACTGTTAACTGCTTATCTGATGACAGCTAAGACGAACTTTTTTTGTTGTGGTTTTTTTTTTTTGTTTTTTTTTGAGACAGGCTCTCGCTATGCAGTTCAGGTTGGCCTTGAGCTCACTTTGTAGCCCAGGCTCCTCTTGAACTTGTAACAGTCCTCCTGCCTCAGCTTCCCAAGTGCTGGGATTACAGGCATGTGCCACCATGCCTGGCTTTGAAGACCAACATAAATATTTCTGGGCACCTGCCATGCGTGAGGCCCTGAGCAATCACCCTCTGCCTATTTTACCCTCACAGGACTAGAGAGAAAAGGGGACTTGCCCCAGGGACTGCTTAGTGGGAGGGCTGGGGCCACAAGCTGGTTAAAGGGGCAGTGTCCAAATCTGCCCAAATGGGAGGCCTGCCCACCAAGAAAGGCCATTTTAGTCAGCAAGCAGGTGTGTCTGCCCTGTACTCATACAAGCTGAGATAAAGGAGAGCCTGGAGAGCCAGGCATGGTGGCACACACCTGTAATCCTAGCACTCAGGAGGATCGTCCCAAATTCAAGGCCAGCCTAGGCTACCTGGTGAGTTCAGGACCAGTCTAGACCACCTCAGGAGATCCTGTCTCAAAGAAAATGAAAAACCAAATGCACTCGGAGATACACGTCAAGACCTCAATTATGGGGTGGACACTGGTCAGGGAAGGTTTCACAGCAAAGGAGGGACAGAGGCCCAGAGACGTGAAGGTGTTCCAGGCAAGAGAAACACAAAAGCCGTGGCCAGGAACACAGCAATGAGGAATCTCCAAACAGGCTGCTATGGTCAGAAGGAGGAAAAGGGACCGAGCACACGGCCATGTAAGAACCTGGCCTTCATCTCCAGGGCCACCAGTGGCTTCAAGCAAGCAGGACATCTAAGCGGGGACACATCTTCCCCAGCTGCCTTGCTGGAAGGAGCTCCCCAGGGCTACCCAGGAGTTCAGCCCAGGTCGCAGGGCCGCAGGCAGACATTAGCAGGGAAATCTCGCCTAACTGCAGCCTTTAGCCGGTCTCCTAGAGGCCACATCCCCACAGGCATGGGGCTCACTTCGGCCCGGCTCTGGGCTCGGATCACCTGGCCTCACGTCCAAGCCTTAATCCAGCTGGGGAAACTATGTTCCAGGTCACAGAGACAATGCAGACGGAGATCCGAGTTCAGGATGACAAGCTCGAAGCCCCAGCTGAAGCACGACGCTCATGTGTAAAATGTAAAGTGGTGCAGTGTCCCCTCTAAGAAGAGGCCAGCGCGACAGCTCACTGCTCCTGGCCATTTGCATTTTGACCGCTTGCCAAAGGCCAAGGCACTGTTTGTGTCATCTCCCACTCCGCCCTCTCCCCAGGTTGCCCGCCTGTCCTCCCGAGGGGGAGAGGGAGGACGGGGAGGCTCGGGGAGGAGCTGAGAAGTCATTTGTTGGGGAACCACATGCCCTGGACAGCAAAGACGGAGTTTGTTTTCTCCTCCTGCTACCTGCTTAGCTCACCACCTGCGGCTTCTTACTCAACTATCGCAGAATGACAGTGTTCCCAGTTAAAGCTTCCAAGAGGAAGTTGGTCTTTGCTCCCTTTAGGTTAGCGTTTCTAGAGGAGGAGGGTACAGCTCAATGGTGGGCCATATGCTTACCACACACAAGGCCCTGTGTTCAACCTTCGGGACCACAAATATAGTTGGCATCTCTGAACAAAGCAAAACCAGTTGCAAGGCCCCCCCTCACCTGAGATGTCAGGGTCTGCAAGAACCCACTTTCTCTTTTTGGTTTTGTTTCCTCTGAGAGAGACTTACTATGTAGTTCAGGCTAGCCTTGAATTCAGTATGTAGCCTAGGCTGGCTTCAAACTCAGCAATCCTCCTGTCTCAGCTTCCTGAGCACTGGGTTTACAGGTGTGCACCAGCATGCCTGACCCAGGCTCTACTTTCTAACACTGCAGTAACAATTAGGGCTTCTTATGTTATCCAAGAGGGTTTTTCTCTGGGTATGGCTACAAAGACTACAACCCCAGGATTCAGAAGGCTGAGGCAGTAGGATCAGGCAGTAGTAAGTTCAAGACCAGCCTGAACTACATAATAAGACCCTGCTTCAAAACACAAACAGAAGAATTTCCCCCACCACCCACTTTATGTTTGACCAAACATTTTCAGGGCCACCTCTGTCCGGATGGCCAGACCTTCACTGAGAGGCCCGGGAACTCTGGCGCTGGCCAGCCCCACTGGGAACAGAGCGGTGAGGACCCACTGCGTAAGTGGGGAGGCGTACCTGTGCAGATAAACGAGCTCATGCACATAAAGCACTTGATACTCAGACGTCGGCTCCTAAAATAATGAGAAATGCCAGAGACCATGACAAAGAGATCAGTGAATGAAATGACAAGCAATATCTTGGGTAAATATGAACAGGGGAAGAAAGGATGAGAAACAAGAACTTGTCAGAATTTCTCCATCTCCCTCTCGAAAAGGTGTTTTTTTTTTTTTTGCGGGGGGCGTATGTGTGGTACTGGGGATTGAACCCAGGACCTTCACGCTGAGCTACATCTCCAGCCCCATTTTTATTTTGAGATGGGTCTAAGTCACTGAGCTGCCTAGGCTGGACTCAAATGTGTGATCCTCTTGTCTCAGCCTCCCAGTATGTCGGGATTCCAAGTCTGTGCCACCACAACTAGCTATAAAGCTGTTCTTTAACCACTCCCTTGGTTTCCCTTCGCTCCCAGAAGAGGACAAGATGCAAGACCTTAGCACATAACAATCTCAGGGGAGTGTAACAAACAAGAAAAAGCCTGGGCCTCATGACACACACCTATAATCCCAGCACTCGGGAGGCAGAGGCAGGAGAACTGCTGCGAGTTTGAGACCAGCCTGGACTACAAAGTGAGCTCAAGGCCATCCTGAACTTCAGTGAGACCTTGAAAGAGAGGGGAGGAGAAAGGGGAGAGAGAGGAGAGAGATGAGAGAGAAGAGAGGAGAGGAGAGAGAGAGAAAGAAAAATCTTATGTTCCTAAATCTCAAATTAGACCACATTCCTTTTGAGCAACAGCCAAAGGGCTTGTATTGTGTCTTTACTATTTCTTAATGCCTATGGTTGTGTCTTGAACACCTATCATTTTCTGAGCACTGACATGTGTCACTTACAGTGCTAGTCTTTTGTTTTGGAGACAGGGTCTTGCTTGGTAGTCCAGGCTGGCCTTGAACTCACTCTATTACCTAGGCTGGCCTCAGATTTGCTGCAATTCTCCTGCCTCGGCCCCCCAGGTGCTGAGATTACAGGCATGCGCCACAACACCCAGCAATTCTAGCAATACTTTAGACTTAACCACACTTTATTTTGGTACTGGGAATCGAATGCAGGACCTCGTGCTTGCCAAGCAGGCACTTGTGCCACTGAGTTCTATCCTTGGCACCAGTTTAATTCACCACCCTTAGAAAAGAGCATGGGACCCATTTTACTGATGGGCAACCAAGGGGCAGTGTCTTCAGTGTCTTATCGTCACAGGTCAGAGTCAGCAGCAGGGCTGGAAACCTACCCTGCAGCTGACAGGCGCCAAGACGTGACCCTGCAGAGCAAGGAGCAGAGAAGGTGGGGGGCGGCCCAGCAGGACGAGTAGACGTGCTTTCTCTACCGTGTGTGGCTCCCACATTTCTGTGTCGTTTTGCAGATTTCGGTAAAGTCCATTTGTTCTGAGAACCAAATTTCGTCCATCTATAAGTAACCCTGTCACTGCAGAGAGGCCTCTGGACACCACACAGGTCCCAGGTCACAAGTAAGTGGCTCAGGGCAGCAGGGCTCTCTACCTCTCTCAGCAGAGAAATACTGGCCACCCTCTTCTAGACCCAAGGCCGAGCCCTCTGACGGCTGTACCAGAACCCCGGGCAGGAAACAGGACAGATGTTTAAATAAGAAACAGCGACAGTCTTAAAACACTTTATTTGATGCAGAAATTCTAAAGTACAAAACCATTTTGCAAATGTCGGCCGTGGTTTACTATCATCTATTTACAGAGTTATGCACAAATCACACATTACTAACACTTTCAACGTAAAAGTACAGCACACGGCTACCGTCTGTCAGGGCTCACTCTTCCACCCAGTGCCACCAAGGACAGACTTAAAAATGAAACGAAAACAAGGACACCAGTAACCACGGTGTCCCCAGGCTTCCCCCAGGGATGAAAAAGCAGGGAGCTTCCACACTGAAAATTTTGTTAACTAATAGTGAAAATCTAAGTGACTTCTTCTCTACATGAACACATTTGGTTTTTACAGAAGCTTTTGCTGCTGTCGAGACTCATGGTTTGTTCCTGGGAGAAAACAAAACAAAAACCAGAATTCTTCCTAACACAAACACATGAATGATATCCAATGGAATTTTTTTTGCCTACATAGGGGAGCAGCCACATTTGTCTACTTCTGGCACAAACGGGGCTGCTCCTTGGAACCTTCTTGACTGAATTTTACATGGTATAAACATCACACAGGAATGCCTGCTTTCAGGTTTGATTGTGCAAAAGACAGCACCTGGCCAACTGAGCGCCGTGGCCCCGGCCCGTCGGCACACAGTAAAGGTCCTGAGGTGCCTTCCGGTCCACGAGGATCCTCGGGAAGGAACCGAAGGGCAGGAGAGAAGACAGCTGGCCAGAACTGCCCAGAGGTTCTCACTGGGGGACCCAACATGTGTGCGAATTCTCCCCCAAACAGCAACGGAGAGGCGGTGCATCGCAACTGCTGCTGTCACTCGCCAGTGGTTAAATCTAAGCAACAATATCATGAATCTCAAAATAAAAATTTTACATATCTCTAGATATGCAAATATATAATCCCAAACTGGAAGAATGGGGTAGCTGCCACTCAGAAGGAAAGAGCTGGTCTTGCATATCCTGAAGTTTCAGGATGACGTTAAACACACCAGGGGTAAGCACCAAGTATCTGCCATCGGGAGGGAAAATACACCTCCGGATAGGACAGGACCATCTGGGTTGGGGCGGGGGGAGGGTGTCTACGACACATATGGCTACCTAATGATTCTCACAGCTAAGTGATACAGCATCTTTAAGAAGTACGGCTGTGTTTCCACCTCATAAGGGAAGCCAGGCACACAGGAATCTCCCTGTAGTCCCAGCCGGAGCTTGGCTGTCACAGGCACCAGTGTGAGCAAGGCACTGATGTCTCTCTCCGGGCACCTAAACTGAGTGTGAAGCTGAGAAACAACAGAACAGGGAAAATTATGAAGCCCCTGGAAAGTAAGAGCCGTGAAGAATGGAGAAGTGGGTGGGGTTATTTACCACTGAAATCAAAACTCCAGCGGGATGACCTCACCGTGGTTTTCCAACGCACAGAAGGTGACCAGCTGTTCTTTCTCTACTACACCCCAAACAAAAGCAAGCTGGTTTGAATTTCTAGAAGGAAGATACACAAAGAGCTATCTGATCAGCAGAGCAGGTTACAAAATCTCCTTTACTGAATGAAAATCCAGAATCTCATCCACAGCCACACGCCGGGGCCAATTTCAGGCACAGCTCCCACCACCGAGGGAGGAACATGCCAGCGCCACACTTGTATTCTGAGATCAGAATCAAAGCTATTGGCTTACAGTCTGAGTTCCCTTTATTTATTTTCACCCTGCGCCTTGACAGGTGATACGGCAGGGGTGACCTACCACGCACAGGGACTCCTGCTACGGCCACGTTGGGAAAAGCTTTTCTGTGTCTACCGTGTCTTACCTCCAAAACATCAACTCACAGGTCATTTAAGAGAGAAGATAATGTAAACTCCTGGCCCGAGTAGAAGTACATTTTCAGCCTTATTTCCCAAAATGTCTCTTTCCCTAAGTAGGTCTTGGCCTAAGCTCGAATGTACAGGCCATCTTGAAAAATAATTATGTCAAGAGCTAAGCTATAAGATAAGGCCCTAGGCCACAGGCTGTGGCGTTCCAACTATTATTTTTTTATATCAGGAGAATCTAAAATTGACTCTGAAACTAGCACCTAACTTGGCTGTTTTTTAAAACATCACATTATGTATTGTAAACAGGTACTAATAAAAATTAAAACAGACATCACAAAACGTAAGAGAAGCAATCAAAACACTCCAAATACATTCCAGAATCACATGAAATTTCTTTGAAGGAGACATAAACAACCGGTGGCTGGCTGCATGGGGATATAGCCCCATTTCCTGAAGGTACCACATCTGAAACGACTGTAGACCAGCTTTGACTGCAGATCTTTTCAAGCTGGGGTCACAAACTGGCAGCCACTGGGCTGAATTTGGTCCGTCTCTCTGTTCTGCTGGTTCTGAATGTGTCTTAAATATTTTTAAAATTTAGTTGCCAATATTTAAAATAAAAACTTTCAGCTTCTGTTAAGAAATGGGTCTATCAGGAAATAATCAGTGTACGGCCACGCTGACTGCTATGGCGGGCGCTTGCAAGACGCAAAGGCACTCTTCGGTCTGCCACGGTCCCCCCACACCCTACTGTCCCTGACAGTGAGAAGGGGTTGCACTGCTGTCTGTCACCACAGTTGTTCCCCTTACACCTGGCTACCCCAGCGGCCCCCAAAGGCAAAGGATGTGCTAACAGCACAGAAAAGCCAAGGGATCTTCACACGATCTTCACCTGCCTCTCCAGTAAGACAGCGTAACTTCTCTCTTCAGGAAAATGTTGTGGTGGCATGGGGCTGCGGGATTGTCTTTCTTTTGGGAGGAAGTTGTGTCATTTCTTCATCCAGAATAAAATAGATCTTTTCCCTTTTTGTTTCTTTTAAAAGAAAAATAGTCAATGCTGGGGAAAAAAAACCTCTCAAAATCATGGCATGCTACATTATTAAAGGAATGTTACCTGTACATTCCTGTTTATTTGCACGTAAATCAGGGGACCTGAGACTATGGGTCAGTAAAGAACAAAATCCAAACACTGTATTGCTTGGAATAGTAAGACTGAACTTTGATGAACATACATGAACTTAGGTATCTCTAACTCGCTATACACTTATTGCAATGATACGACGTTGCTAAAGACTTTTTTTTTTTAACTTCCGGACTGGGACTGTCTTCAATTAATACTAACACGTCAAAAGAACTTTCCTTATGACCCAGTCTCATTTTTGACTCAAAATACTGTATCACCTAGTGGCGTATGAACCCAAATACCTGGGCTTGCACTGGAGTGACTTCCGATTCTTTCTGGGGATCCGTGTGCCTCCAAGGCCCAAGTGTCAGAGCTCTAGAAAGCTCCTGCACCCCATATGCCTGGGCGGCTCCCTCAAGGGAGTCTGCCACTCGCAGCCAGCTTTTCAGAGAAGAGCACACCTCACCTGGGCTTTAACTGCCTCCATCACTTCCCAAGGAAGCTGACAGCGTCAGATGTGAAATCCTTCCCGGGAAAGACTGCAGGAAAGAGAAAAGCTCACTCCTTGCCTTCGCCTCAGGGCTTTCCTGGAGCCCCGCCACACTGACCCACACTGACCCTCGCTAACTGTTTCCTCTCACACCGAGGCCCTTCTCTGAAACCACTGCTCTAAGCTAATTCTTGGTTCCCCACTACCTAAAGCCTGTACTTGGCAGAGCCTTTTTTAAATTCCATCTTATCACGTCCACCATCTGTGACATTTTGTGAGTAAAAAATGCAGCTGTGCTTGGGACCGATGTTTTGCCTTCATCTCCAAGACAACTATTTCCACTCCCAGTACAATGGGGCAAAGCAGGAAGTCGGACTTCATGTATTCTGAGTGAGGCAACTCTGCCGCACTTTCACCGCCTGACCTTTGAGTTTGCTGATCAGATACACTGATACTTCAAAATAAGAATCCACACTCTAAATCCAACCTTAAGCATCACCTTCAGCATCTGTCCCTGCCATTTTCCTAACACGTGAACCCATGTAGTAAGCGCTCTGCCCGCGCCTTGGGAACCCAGTGAATGCTCCTCCTCCTGGTCCTGCAGGCTGTGTCCGGAGACTCTTCCTCACAGCTGCCTGCTGTCGCATGAAAAGGTGAGTATCCATCCTACAAGCAGCACCTACTGGTTCCTTTGGGAGCACCAAACAACTCTTAGACTCAGTAAGAAACCTCTGATGTCCCCAGTGAAGTCCGGTACGTTAGCAAGTTCAGACCCAGCCATCTCTTTCACAGACTGTGAGCGGAGGATGAAGCCAGCGCACCGTCTTCTGTGGGCAGGAGACTGCACTTTTGGAGAGCACGGTGACAACAGGAACTGGCGCCTCTGCCAACACGCCTGCGTTTCGGGGAGACAGCCTTCCATCCCCCCGTCCTCCCTCAGAGCAGCTGCAGGAAACTCGACTCCAGAGAACAGACGAGCACGTTCTTCTCCCAAAGGCTGCCAGCTGCCTTTACAGAACAGGGAGTAGGGGATCTGCATCCAAAATACACACAACCTCTTCTTCCCAGTACGAGCGCAAGCTCTGCCCTTCCCCACCTGCTCAGCATGTGCTCGGAGGCGAAAGCCCTGTCACCCCGTTCACCCCACCTTGAGATGTTCTTCTGCATCTCTCTTAATGTTGGTTCTCACTGATGAGAGTGAAAACTGGATCGAATGCTGAGAAAACAGGCTGCTAAAACCCAACAGCACCCATAAAAGAGCGGGGGAGCGCCGGGGATACAGCTCAGCGGCACAAGCGCCTGCCTGGCAAGTACAAGGTCCTGAGTTTGAGTCCCAGTACAAAACAAAACAAAACAAAAAAAATCCATAAAAAAGGGAGGAGGAAGATACTCACACGTGCTCCAGGGCTTCCACACAGGAGACTAAGACATCACTACACACAGGTTAAACAAGCAGAATATGGACAAATGTTATCCCTTTGGAGACAAATTTGTTAAAAAAAAAAAAAAAGCTTTCATAAAAATAGAGCATCTCCTTTGATGATAGTTCCCTCCTTTCTACCATCTTAGAAAGACGCCTGTCGTCAGGCAGGACCAGTTCAGCAGACTACTGGCCGCCTCCTCCATTCGCTGGTGCCTTCTAACGTTCAGGACACAGCTTTAGGCCACCAGGCAACGGAAGCACAACTGCAACTTCCAATAACATGGCCCGGCTGGGAAACAGTCTCTTAAAATAAACTTCCAGACACCGTCACCTGAGCTGCAGCACAGGAAATGTAACCCAGGGAAACCTGATAGGCAGCTCGGGGCCCCGCACGCTGCCCGCTCAGCCCGAGGGAAAGCTGAGACGGGACAGCAGAGATGCCCTGCCCGCTGGGCCGCCCACCTCGGCCAGCTGAGTCACTGAGTAATACGTACAGACCTGTTTAGAAAGGTATACTGAATAATCAGCCCTCTCTTGACCCTCGACTGAAAGCTTATTTAATACGTGTAGCGCTGTAAGCGCCACCAACGAAATCAGACAGAAACACATCTATAATACAACACGGACTCTGGCGAGACTGACACTTGATTTCTGTGGCTATAATGACATTGAGAAGTGGTTTTTCCACACAGCATTCCAAACCAAAATAGCCAACAGTACACAGGCGAAGTATGCAGAGCTCAATAGTCTGAATGGTCAGTGCAGGTATTTTCTGTTTCTTCGGTTCCTCCTACCTGCCAACACAGGCTTTTTTTTGGTCTTTTTGAGTCAGGATTTCACTATGCAGTTCAGGCTGGCCTCAGACTCACAGGGATCCTCCTGCCTCAGCCTCCCATGTGTTGGGATTACAGGTGTGTGCCACCATGCTTCACCAGAACAGGCTCTGATACAAGGACTGGCCTAACCCAGAAAGCTGCTGTTGGACCTCACACACACCTTCCAGAGGTCTGTATATGGTTCTGAAAAACTGGAGAATTTGCCAAGATAGCTGGTAGAGAGCTAGGGCTGGGGGACCAAGCACTGGCCAGAATTCCGCTCTAAATATCCTGGGAGGAGTACTCAGCTCCAGGTAGGTGACGCAACCACAGAGACGAGCTGGAGAACCAGAGAGGGGTGGCAGCTAAAGTGGCAATGCTTAGGCTCCTCTGTTCTGTTACGACGGGGCGACCACGTGGAGCTCATCAGCGTAGCTGTGGCAACCAAGTTCTGCTTTGCACACCCCAGAGGCAAGGAGCTGAGTTGGAAGGGTGGGAAGATCCTCCTCACCTACGGAGAGAAGACAGGAAGAGCACACAGTCATTGCTTCTCACCGGGCCAGACACTAAGCCAGCGTGAACTTGGGCTTCGCACACATGAGGCGGGCATCCAAACCAGCTCACGGTATGGAACCCCATGCTCTCAACAGGTCCTACCTCCCCACCTTCCCGGAGGCCCAGGGTTGGACGCGTGGCTCCACTGAATCCCAGGCACAGAGGACACGGCTGAGACCGTATGCTGCCAGAGCTCCCTGGGGAAGCGGACCCTCCTACAAGAGCCCTTCTTTTCCGCTGGGAGCCACTGGAGTGGCCGTTGGTCCTAAGCGTGAGGGATAGAGACAGAGTGCCTCAGGCAGTCAGGCTACCTGGTACTGTGAAAGGCAGCCTGCCTGGACAATTACAGTCCTTAGTCACGAGGCAACGTTACCTCTCACATACCACTTTGCAAGTGCATGAAGTAAACGCCCCTACTGTTGAAGTCAGTCCTCTTGCTCAACAGGCGAGAGGTACCGCCACCTGACCCCGGCTCTTGTCTCTTCTCTTTATTTTCTAAATCCCCTCGCCGTTCTCTCCCAGGGACCACGGAGAGACCACCGACTCCCATACTTTATTTATTTATTTATTTTTGGACACGGTCTTGCTGTGTACCCTAGGCTGGCCTCAAAATCACAGCAGTCCTCCTGCCTCACACCCTCAAGCGCTGGGATTACAGGCATGTGTCACCACACCCGGCTAGCCTTTCTGTCTATGGGTCTGTGCTGAGCTAGGAAGAAGAAAGTATTTCACCCGTGAACTTCAGGCTCAATAGACATGCTTTTTAAAACAAAGAGAAGGGACACACTACAGGGCCGTTGGAGCTCAGCGTGTTTTGGTAGTCCAATGTTTTGAGTTCAGAAAGGCCATATAGCACACACTCTGTATGCCCTATAATACCCCCTGCCAGGCCTCAGCAATCCACCATAATTTTTTTTGAGACAAAGTCTCGCTATGCAGTTCAGGCTGGCCTTGACCTACTTTGTAGCCCAGGCTGGTCTTGAACTCACAACGGTCCTCGTGCCTCAGCCTCCCAAGTGCTGGGATTTCAGGCGTGCGCCACCACACCCGGCATTCACCATAATTTAGCATCGGTATTTCTGCAGCTGAAACACTTGAACAGTCCTGTTACCTGGGGCACACTGAGACTATCAAAGGAGTGATATTTTTTCTCATCAGGTTTCACTCTCTAGTAAGTCAGTACCAACATGCAAAAAAAGCTGTGACAGACTGTAGAAGCCTCAAGAGTTTATCAGGAATCTGACCCGGTGGCACCTTACCCAGGCCCGAGGAGGAGGACACGCTCTCTGTCAGGGACGATGTTTCTGTCTGGTCTGCCAAGAGTCCCTCCATCAGGGGCAGGGAGAGCTCAGAGGAGGGCACGGAGGAGTCGTAGATGCCTGAGTCCCTCGGCATGTCCGAGGGGCTGCCAGCTTTCACTGCAAGCAGCAGGGGCTGCAGCGCTGAGCCCCCCTCACGGGGCGCCTGGACCTCAGCATCCTGGTCCAGGGCCCTGCGCGGACTCTCCAGCTGAGGGTGCGAGTCTGCGGGCACAGTGGCCCCAAGAACTGTGGCCTCAGCCCTTAGGCAGAAATCACTCTCTGGCCCTGGTTTGCCAATGACGTCGTTTAAAACCAAGCCCGAGTCAAACTTCTCCAGGACTGGCTCCCGGTAGCGCAGTGCAGGAGGATGGGCGGGTACAAACTGTTTTTCAAACCAATCAGGCTCCTCATCAATAAACTGGTGCATGTTACATATAGCAACATACAGGGAGCGGCCCGACTTGCTCCGGAAGTAGTTCCTCCTGCTGCCGGGGCCCGGGTGCTGCCCAGGCTCCTGAATACTGATGTCTCCCGAGTGCAGGTGCGAACAGAGCTGGGGGAGGTTGTCCATAAGTTTGTATTTGGTGCTAAGGTCCAAAACGCAGGGGACGTCCCCCTCGCAGGAATAATCAAAGTAGACCGCGATGAACTTCCTGAGGGCTGCAGACGAGCTCTGCTTGGCTTGGCGCAGCTTCTCAGCAATGGCTGATACCGCCACCAGGAAGAGCTCCCCTTTCCCTGAACCTCGGCTGCCTCCTTTGTGTTTGTAGTTCTTCTTGTCCACAAAATACTTCATGCCTTTGGAACACACGACAATGATGAACTGGGACTCGTGGATCTTCTGGATGACCCATTCTCTCTGCCCCTCTCTGCAGAGACTGAGGTCTTCCCACAGGTCCAGAGCCACCTGGTGGAAAACAGCACATCTCACCCACCTGCTCCAATACTCAGCAGTAAGAACGGGGTAGTACGACCGTGAATGTTGGGGGGGGCCACACCACCTGTCCCTTGACCATTATTTGCACAGTATGTGCAGGCTCGGGGTTACGCACTCACGTGGGGAGAAGCAGCTAGGTCTCTAGGGTGAGGAAACCTAGCTCTACGAAGGCTTGCCATCCATCAACCCATTTTAGCGGCATGCAGGCTCACACAGTGCTGCCCCAGAAGTGAAAAGACGAAAGCACAGAACTTTCAGCAACTTGTCTAAGTCACCACAGAGGAAGCCCTCAAGGGACAGAACAGGAAGGATGGCTGGGCTTGGTGGTGCATGCCTCTAATCCCGGCACTCGGGAGGCTGAGGCAGGAGCATCGCTGCAAGTTCGAGACCAGCCTGGGCTACAAAGTGAGCTCGAGGCCAGCCTGAACTGCACAGCGAGACCCTTTCTCAAAAAAACAGAAGGAAGTAGGATTGGTGTGTATTATGAATAAGGCAGTCAGACGCAAGGAGCGGGTCCTGGAGGGAAGGCTGGCAGGCTCTAACGAGACACAGATGAGTGACTCCAAAGCGTGCCGGCAAATGGCGCTCAGGTCCGGATACTTGAGTCAGCCACAGTGCTAGGTGACGCACACCCAGAGTGTGGCTGACAAAGTGGACTTCTCTGGACACTCACAGGCCCGGGGTCAGTCACGTTATCACTAGCTGGACAGTGCTGGAGGAGGGTAGTGAACTGCTGTTTGCACAGCTTTTCTGCTTAGCAATGCGGAATGACCAGCACCTCCTCCACGGCTTCGCAGGTCTACTGCACAGTGTCACGTGGACCAGGCTTGCGAACAACAAGGCCTGCGGACAGGGAGGCTCAGGGCCTCTGGTAGCGAAGTTGCTCTCGCTGGGATCTTGGTAAAAATCCAGGTTTGTGTGGCTGCTCGGGGTTTTACCTCTCAGATCATTTTTATCTAACTCTGCTGAAAACATCCCTTGGCAACTGCCCTGGGGTGGTTCCTTCTGTAGTTCACAAACTAATGTCCATGGCTACGACCAAAAAATTAGCCAGTGTCAAGGGGACAGGGACCTGAAATGACTTTGTTTCCTTTTCTGCACTAAGCTGTTTCCAAAGGAAAGAACTCCCTGACAGCCACCCACTTGCTGAAAATAAGCTTGAATTGTTTTATATTTTCCTTAATTCTTCCTAACGGTACACAAGCTTAAGCTAATTGGGAGAATATACCAAGCATTTAAAAGCCATTCCTATCTTGACCCAGAATTTCTACTTCCAGGCATTTATCCATGGGAAATCATCAGAAATGGGGCAATACTGAACTACTGGACAATTCGATAACTTAGACTAACTCCGTTATGATAAACCAGTGTGATGGATCATGTTACTATTTAAAACAGCATCGTATAGTGCAGAAAATCATTAACAGACAGAGATAAATCATTCCAGTCTGCCCAAAGCACAGATTTGGGCTTGTGATTTCATTTATGCAGAAAAAGGCTGGGAAGAAGTACACCAAATATGTCCGCAGCGGTTTTCCAGCAGGTGGTGATCCGCCAAGCTCCCGCGAGAGGAGGAAACTGGGAACGGCTCACTCATACTTTTTACTGCCACCAGAGGGCAGCCTCACCCTATGGAGCGCCTGAGAAACCACACAAACAGAGGCGAGAGGCGAGGAAAAGGGGATGAAAGAAAGAATTAAAATGAGTTATGTGCCGTGTACCAACTGCACACGGGAAGGCAGGCGTGATGTGCTGCACACGTGTACTGGTAAATAAAAGCACGGATGACTTCCAGCTACATAATTATGGTGTAACTGTTACATTTGTAAGAAACTGTGTGTCCCTTCCATGATAGCTTCAGACTTCACTCCAAAAATTCACACCGTGACATGATAGAAAAGCGACAAATTACGCTCACTTGCGAATAGCTAAGGAGCCAGGACAGACTTTCAAGCGCACGTGACACGCTCGCTGCCTTCCGGAGTCCTCCCTTCTTACCGTTTGTCCTTCACGACTGCCTGCTCTTGTATCACTGGTTTCTCCCTTTCTACACCCTTTAAACTTTTCTCCGGGTCCCCAAGAGTCCTTCTACCTCCATCCCCCCTCTCAGGAAAACCCTCTCCAAGAATCACCTTCCTGCCATCCCATCTGACCCTCTGCGGGAGCTTCCGTCCTGCACATGCTTACCAGGGTATCTAGAGGGATCCCCAACCTGCGCCCTGGTTTGTATGTTCCCAAGGAGGGCGGCCACTACTTTTCTTTAATGCTCACAATACTTCCTGCCATGTGGGTACCAATCAAGGCTTTTGAGCAGGACTGAGGTGATTCGCATTATAAAACACTTGGAGCTTGAGATTCCTAGGACAGGCTGGAAGAAGAAGAGGGCAGGACTCTCCCCAGTTTGGAAACAATGGCGCCAGTCGAAGCCAGGCGTCACAAAAGCAGGCCTGGAAAGCGAGGAGACAGCAAGGAGAGAACAGCGATCATGCGTCTCGCCCAGGGTAAGAGACTTTAAATTCCGTACCTCACAGCCGCAGAAGTCCTGGAGGAAGTAGGCAAAACACTGGACAACATTCATGTGATTCTGGCCATCTTTACTGGAATAGCAGAGGAAGACCTTCGGCCGAGGCCGGAGCCTCTCCCTGGGCACTGCCGCAGTGCACGTGGAGGACTCCGAGTTCTCTTCATCTAAATGTGAATATATATTTTCTAAATCGGGAGAGAAGACAGCGTTGACACCTATGAACAAAGCTTTGTCTTATTCTACAAGACACAGACCTTGATGCTATTTTCAAGAAAGAACACCTCGTATGTCCACCGAGAGTCCCAATCCCCAACTCTACAGCCTCTTGGGCCACTGCTGTGCGTGCGACAGTCAGTTTCTGCAGTACAGCATCAAAAGGCCAAGAACTGTTCTTAAATCTGAAGTTGACCTTCGATAAGCTAAGAAATGCAGAGGCCACTCTGGTCAAAGAACTGCCCAGAACTGGCTCTTGGAATCAAATATGCCTACATGCCTACTAGACAAATTAATCATTGTCAGAGCTGACCTCCTTAAAAATGGAGGTGGGGGCAGGGATATAGCTCAGTGGTATAGCACCTGCCTGGCAAGGGCAAGGTCCTGAGTTCAATTCTAGATACAGACAGATAAGAGAGAGGGAGAGAGGGAGAGAGGGAGAGAGAGAGAAGGGAAGGAGGGAGGGGCCCATCCTGGTGGAGCACACCTATAACCCCAGCACTTGGCAAGCTGAGGCAGGAGGATTGCTGTGAGTTCCAGGCCAGCCTGGGCAACACAGTGAATTCAAGGTCAGCCTGGACTACAGAGCAAGACCCTATGTCAAAAACAAAACGAAAACTGTAGTGAGGTATAACTTACCAAGGTAAACGGTACACACACCCCCTCGCCACTTCTTTAGAACGAAGTTGCACTAAGTTGCCCATCCTGGCCTCCAAACTCCTGGCCTCAAGTGACCTTCCTGCCTCAGTCTTCCAGAAGCCTGCGATGATAGGTGTCACCACCGTGCCCAGCTAAAAGTGCACAGACCTGAAGTACACAGCCTAGGAACTTTTATATCAGCATGCATCTGTACAGCTCCAACCTAGAAACATGGATCTTTCCCAGGTCCCCAGAAGGGTCTTGCATGACTCCCGACTTAGGTATCAAGTATATCCTTCTGCATGCTTTAGACTTCCTTTACGCCCTTGAATTTATTATCTTACGTGAGAATCTAATTTCCGTACATACAGTGGCTCCCGAGATGGGAAGTCAAATACTTTTATTCTGGCGACCGCAGTAGGCAAGGCTCAGGCAGTAGGCGGCTTCCCAGGTGCCCGCCTGGGAAATCAGGCTCCCTTTCTCCCTCTGCCGCCATCAACCCCTGGCCGGCCCCCGGTTGGGGGGGGACACAGCACACAAAGAGATACCTTGTTGCTTCTTGCGGCACATCACGGTGAAGAGCGTCGCAAACGCCGATATGACAACCAGCGGCACGGTGATGGCCACAGCTCTGATGGGCCCGGCCCACGGGGAATGCACTGGAAATTTCAAAGGGAAGGCCTGTTAACTTAAGCAGCATAACAGGTTCAAAGAGAAATAATTTCTTTTTCTTTTCAAGCATAAGCCAACTGACAGGTTCTAGGACCCCAAAAACCACCCTTTTCTATTGCTGGTACGGTGATTACAGAAGAATTCAACGGTTCATTTTTAAAGGGTTGTGGCGAATAATACAACAGTTCAGAGACTGCTGAGCCAGCAAATACCTGTGAGGGAGAATTTTGCCCAAGGAAATCTCTCCGCCCATCACGTTTCTTCCCAGGACAATTGACTGTTTAGCGCCAGGGACACACCTCACTAGCTTTGATCTTCCAGGCATCAACAGGAAGGGGAAGGAAACTCAGACTTTGACAGAGCATTGTTTAAGAGGGAGGATCGGCATTTTATTCTCTTTTGTTTTTGTGAACGTACAGAAAGAGAGCCAAAATTTCAAGGCAGTGCTTCTCACCTGGTTTTAAGGCGTAATGCATCACCTTTCGTGTTGTGTTAGTGTCATCCACCAGCTGCAAAACAGAGGAGGCCGCGTTACTGTCTAAGTGGTAACACCTCCACAGACTGTGGGAAAACGGGCCCTTCCCACTGCCGCTGCCATCAGGGAGCAGCAGGGCGAGGGCAAAACGGCTGAGCAGGAGCCGCTGGGACGCGCGCTCATTTGCCAGGCTGAGTCCGGGCATCCAGTAAAGCCAGGTTCATCTGCTCTGTAAGTTCAAACCCCCAACCTTCACCGTCGCCTTTCATGAATAGGAAGGCTGTTTATGCGCTGAAGAATGCAGCTACTGAACCCCACAGTGGAGCAACTTTCAGTTAAACCGGCATTCTGCCACTGACTTTCACTGCACGGATGCTCTCAGGTGTGTCTGTCCCAAACCGCACACTGCTACCAAGGAATGCAAGATGAGGCGTTTCTACCAAATGGTAAGACATACTAGTTGTCTTTCAATAGTGGGAGCGGTGGGCAAATTGTTCATCTGCCTTTATTCCTTTCACTACTGCCTTTACTCCTATTTTTTACAGTACCAATTTGATCCTGGAAAAGTAACCCTAAGAGAAACAAGAAAACATCACCGACATGTTCTCTGCAGCGGGGGCTGTGGAATACAGCAACAGAAACCCTGGAGAGACGGAGGTGGATGTAATAATGGACACAACTTTTGTTTCGCTGTACTGGGGGAGCGGACAGTGCTGGGTCTCAAACACAAGGCCTCGTGCATACCAGGCGAGAGCTACAGGCCCAACCAAACCGTTTTTAAAGGTAGAATTTTTAAGCTATATCTTCGTAGTATGAACAGTTTATAAGAATTTTAAATTGGGGGCTGGGGATTTAGCTCAGCGGCAAAGCGCCTGCCTGGCAAGCGCAAGGTCGTAAGTTCGGTTCCCGGTACCGGAGAAAAACCAAAAAAAAAAATTTAAATCATGGTTATGTGGATTGTGTGGTTGTATAAAAACATTTATTTGAACTATTGAATGAAAAGGTCAAATAATGATGCATAAAATTTTTTAAAGCCATGATAAGAACCATGGGAAAACATAATCGTGCACATCTTCAGTGGTCTGAGGTATCAGTGCTACACACAGAACTGCACACGGCCTGAATGCCGGAGAACGGTACCACCCTCCGAAGCTGTACGCACCTCAATGACGTAATCTCCTGGAGAAACGTTCTGAAGGAGGCAGCAGGTTGTCTCTGTGTTTTGCTCCTGCAAAGAACAACCAATGCTTTAAAAACTCTCTCTTTAGAAAAGGCCTCCTCAGGGCCTCTCTTCTCTCCCAGAGCTCCAGGAAACTTGGCAGCAGTGCTGACCACATCTTCAGAGGCGATGTGGTCAGAGCACCTGTGTTTCATCCGTCACATGTTATGTGAACTTCACCTCGACAGATGGCCCAGGAGAGCCCAGGACCCGTCATATTCTGTCCTTAGCTGTAGCGCCCTCAGCAGGAATACTTCTTTGGAAGACAAACTTAGAATACTCTACATAGAGAAGTGAAGGAAAAACATGACCGGACTCTGCATGAATTTAATTTGTCATAATTTATTTGGTTACTTTATTTTACCTTTCGAGGGTCTTACTATGCAGTTCAGGCTGGCCTCAAACTCTCAGCGATCCTCCTGCCTCAGCCTCCCTAGTGCTGGAATTTCAGGCATGGCCACTCTGCCTAGCTATTTGTCATAACTTCAACTTGAGCAAAAGGCCAACTTAAGTGAGAGCCAGCAGGAGAGCAGAACTACGAAAGAACCGAGTGTGTATAAGAGCCTGTGTGCAAAGGTCATGGGTTTTGCTGCCATAAATAGAAGTTGCTCTCGATGCTCGGGCAGGCCTGTGTAAGCTTCCGGAAACGCGTCCCACTCCTCTGATCACCTTCAGTTTAAGATCTCGGTACTGAGCCTCTCCTTAATCTTGGGCTGTGGGTAAAACCAATGGCCACTGCACCGCTAGCGGCTTAGCTCTTACATCGGGCTTTTCTACTTACTAGTTGTGTGACCTAGAGCAAGGAAGGTGACCTTCAGAGACACAGGGTTCCCACTGCCAAGGGAGTTAGCAACAGTTTGCATTTCACGGAGTGGTCAGGATTCGAAGAAGAGAAAGCTTAACGCCTGTCACACATGAGGACCTGATGAACGTTCAAAATGTGGAAGACCAATCCAGAAATACTAATTCTTCTCATTCTTGTTTTCTCAGGCTATTTCACCACTGGAACAGCCAAGGAGTAGATAACCAGGGAATGAGCAACATCAAGACGGTCTAAGACGTAACCAGGGCTCAATATCCCGGACGTCCACTAACTGCTGAGAGCCAGCGAAGTCTAATGCTCACACTGAGCTACCAAAGCCAGATGCTCAGAAGTGCCCTGAAAACACGCAGCACCCCTCGCAGCTCACCTGCTTACAGGGCTTTCGCCGGAAGGGTCCTTCATGCTTGAGCTTGTAGTGAAGGTAGAAGCAGCGGAAGCCGAAGGTGTGCGGCGCGTGGTCGAAGGACACCTGCAGGTCCAAACCGTGCTGGGTGATGTTCAGGCTCCGAGGCTTCCAGACTGAGAAAGGAAGGCCACAGTGAGCACCTGGAGGGGCGCTGCCCCGGCACCCCACGCGGCACCCCCTGCAGACCCCACACTCAGGGACAGCAATACTCACAGGGTTTACAGGCCAGGTTGTCCGGCTGCAACAACAGGTCACAGGCTGCAAAGAAAGGTAAGTATCTTTAGTTTGAGGACAGTGTGACATTTTTCTTATTGCAAGGTTCCGTGAAATATAAATATACCGTGCCTGGTGCTGCCGGAAAGGGTCTAAAATACATCACCTCATAATGGCTCGCTACAGTGCAGCTGTATCTTATAAGAATTTAAATAGTACAATGTAAAAATATTAATGCAGTTCACCTTATGCAACGTAAATGGAAACAGTATAAAGTCACCCGGATTTTTAAAAGCTGGTCAAACACTACACAGGTTCAAGGTGGGCCGGCAAGGGCAGTAGAACCTGTTCATATTGTCCCCTGCAGGTCGTTTCTGGCTAGAAGCAGAAACAGTGCCATCCCCTGTCCCATTGGAGGTGTCAAGGCACAAGGGAACTTTAGAGCGGTTCTGACACCTGCCGAGGGGTTATTTAACCTTCACCGGTGTTCTAATTTAAAATTATTTTCATAGATTCCAAAAATGACAGGTGGGCATCTACCAAGTAGAAGTGTCAGTGCTGAAAACCAGGTACCAAAATCAGCAGCGTAGGGATGGCATGTCAACTGGTAACAACACTATGAAAGCCAAACAACACACTCCAGCACACCGGGCTGCTGGCCGCGGCGTCTTCCTGAGCTATCCAGGTAGCTCCAAGCAAACGGACAGCAGCAACAGAGCCTCCGTGCTTGGACATGATGACACACACCTGCACTGCGGGACACACCTCCGCTCCACCGCTAGCCACATTAATTCCGCTTGGAAAAATAATCTTAAATTATGCTAGCTTTTATAAACACATTCTCTGAACCCACTATCTAGCTGTTATGTATAAAGCAGGAATACTATAATATGTGCATAGGCTTCACCCCACAGAATCTTATTTTAATTTAGAAATTGAAGCCAGGCACTGCGGAGTATGCAGATAATCCCAGCGTTGAGAACCTTGACTTGAGAAGCTAAGCAGGGAGGGTCACTAGCTCAAGTCTTACCTGCGCAATTTATAAAGACCCTGACTCAAAAAAAAATTTTTAAAGGGTTGAAAATGTAGCTCAGGGTAAAGGCCCTGGATCCAATTTCCATTACCATAGAAAGTGAAAGAAGGGTGAAAGGAAGCCAGGAGGGAGGGAGGACGTAAGACCAGGGATGGAGACGTAGCTCGGTAGTAGATCACTTGCCTAGCATGCATGAAGACCTGGGTTTGATCCCTAAGGAGAGAGAGGAAGAGGCGGAGGAAGATGGGGGAGGGGGAGGGGAGGGGGAGAGGGACACAGCCAGAGACACTGTTATAAATTAACTTTGCTGCACAGAAAACTGCCACAGCAAGAATTCTGCAGAGGAGCTGAGCATGGTGGCACATGTCTACAATTCCAATGCTCTCAGGAGCAAGTTCAAGTCCAGCCCAGGCAACTTAATCCCTACCTCACATTTAAAAACTAAAAAAATTAAAAAGGCTGGGGATGTAGCTCACACCCTCGAGTGAGGATACTGAGTCAGGGAGATTAAAGAACTGAAGACACACCATGTAGAGCGAACAATGAGGAACTGGGACCCGGCATGGCTCAGGGCTGAGGGTAAGGGCTCCAGAGCTGGCTGTCTGGCTGGCATTTTTCCCCCCATCAGTATTTGTTTGTCTGGAGATAGGGCAGGGTATCACTACATAATTCAGACTGTCCTTGGACTCATTATGTAGTCCAGACTGGCTACTGGCTACTGGCTACTGGCTACTGAACCTCTTGGTGATCCTCCTGCCTCAGTCTCCCAACAGAACTCTATTCCTGAGGTTCAAATCCCAGCTCTAGGGAAGTTTTTCACCTTTTGTATCACTACACATCTAATAAGTAGGTGTGGTTTCCTTCTAAAGTTGTTACAGAGATAAAACTGTGTTTGGCAATCATTTAGAACAGAGTCTTATATATTAATGTTAAAAGAATAAAACTTGCTACAAAGAAGTGGCCTCAGGGGTAATACTTGGTTTTCTTAACCTATTCCTGAGCCCCTTCCTGACAACAAGCGTAAGATGGGATTGGTTCATTCTCCTGCCTTTTACCCCGAAGCCAACTTACACTTTCTATTACTGAGTTTTTCCCATGGGGGCCCTGCACATGCCAGGCAAGTGTTCTACTACTGAGCAACATCCCAGTCCCCAAAATCACTGTGCCGATAAGCTGGTTGTTTAAATGAGGTCACAATATCCTCGAAAAAAAATCAACTGTCAGGTCCGTCCTAGAACAAACTGAGAGTCTCTGGTCAGGTTAGCAAAGCCTATTATTAATTTTTATTTTTATCTTATTTTATTTTTAGTCTTTTTGAGACAGGGTTTCCCTATGCAGTTCAGGCTGGGCTTGAGCTCACTTTGTAGCCCAGACTGGTCTCGAACTCGCAAGGATCTTCCTGCCTCAGCCTCCTGAGTGCTGGGATTACAGGCGTGCACCACTACGCCCAGCATATTCTTAATTTTTAGAAGTCTATTTCTGGATCCTTTCCTCCTCACCTACTTGCTTCATCCAGTGTTTGGTATACTCTTTCTTTGCGGGGGGGCATCCCCTCACTCTGCAGTTCAGGCTCGCCTTGAAACTCACTATCTAGCCTTGAACTCTCAGCAATCCTCCTGCCTCAGCCTCCCAAGTGTGTGCATCACCATACCTGACTTTCTTACTTAACAAAAACTTTGTTTCCATTTTCTCCTTCTATCCTTTTTTTCCTTGTCCCAACCCCCCTCTCTCCTTGCTCCCCCTCTCTTTTAAATATTTGTATAATAGATACTGGGACATGGGAAAAAAATGAATACACTTCCACCTTGAGGGAAGCAGGCAGGAAAGACCATACTCACCCCGGGTTCTGAAGAAAAACGGGTGGTAATTGCTTTCGTTTTTAATGGAAGGAAAAGGGACAATCTTTACAAAGTAATCCGTTTCAAATTTCATATTCAGGAAAGGTTGAGATTCCATTCCCTAAAAAGGAACAAAAACACATGTGGCATCAAGGGCATGTGATCCACCCCTCCGTCTACACAGGAGACCGTCGCTGCTGCCCTGCAGGTTGCTCGGACGCAGTTCCAGAACTGGGCAGCACAAAGGCAGGGCTTTTACTGCCTGCAGTCCAGGTTTAAGACCCTTGTTATGGTTTGTGTCTGGGTGTCCCCCCAAAGCCTCATGTGGTCATGGGGCAGGCTTTTAGAGTATGATTGATTATGGGTGTGAGAGCTGCACCTGCCCTGGGGTGGATAGTTTGCATATATAAGGGAGAGGAAGAGGGTGCTTGAGGCCATTCTGCCCTGGTGTGTGCTTGTTGCTTTGCTGTGTTCTGCCGCCATGAGCTGTAGCCCTCTGCCATGTGCCACTCTGCCTTGTAATCTGCCAAGTATGGACTGAAACCTCCACAAACTGTAAGAGAAATAAACTTTTCCTTCCTTAATTTTGGGTGTGAGGTATTTTGTCCAAGCAACGAGAGGAAAGTAACCAAGACAACCCTGAACTCTGAATAGATGGCACCGTCTCTTCTTTGGCACGGAAGCCATGGCTGGTTAACACAGAACCTCAGAGCTCCCTCCATCAGGCGGGAGAGGAGCGTCGCCCACCAACCCTCCAGAGAAGAGGCCTCAGACGGCTGCAGGCCTATAACCCAAGAGGTGCGCTCCCCCAGGTGCTGAGGAGTCCCCAGTAGTGTTACCTCCCGGCCTCGCCCACCTGGGGGAGGGGTGGGCCCCCCACAGCCCCGCCTTCCTGAATTTCAGGCTTTCAATAGACCATTCAGACCCCCAGAACAAGGGCCTGCCTTGAGGGGCGCATTCCCCAAGTGTGACTTACAGTTCTTTTGAAGCTACTGTTGAGCTGCTTTGGATCCTTTAGAATCAATTGTTGGCACTGTCTTCCCTCAGACTTCAGCTCCTCCAGTATTACCCGAAATCCTTTTAGGAATTCAATGCCTAGGCAAAGCAGAAAAGCTTTTATGAAAAGGAGACCTAATTACTTCTGAACGTGCTCTCCTTCCTCCAAGATTCCTGTCCTCTCCACCTGCGCATCAGAGCTAAAGGACTTCTTCCTTCGCCTGGGACGCCTGTGTCCGAGGAGACGCACACACCCCGCGCTCCTCGGGGACAGAGCCGGTGATTTTCCCTGTCCCACCTTTACTCATGTAATTAGTAATCTGTGATCCACCCAGCCAGTTCTCAAGGGCCCACTGCCTCTGTGGCCTTAGGGCTCAAAAGACCCAACCAGCGCTGGTCACAAGAACCTGCGAGGTCACTCTATCATTTCTAGATCATTACACAGGTGCGTTCAGCTGAGGGTAACTCCCAGCATTGACTAAGAAAAGCCCTAAACCATGTTTCCACTTTAAGTTTTAGCTCTGTATTTTTTGGCATGTTTCGAAGAGCAACGTACAAAATTCCCAACAAAGTGTGTGTCTGCACCCAAGGGGTTCCTAGCCTTGGGGATAAGTGGCTTAGAGGAATACTGGAGAGATTTACAAAGCGGTTCCTGCTCTAATCACGCCTCAAAGGCGGACACCCAAGGGCTGCCCGGTGTGTGAGCTTCAGGGCCCCGGGCCCCGGCGCAGCTTCCTGCCCCCGGAGCTTCCACCATGCACGTCCGACTACACGCTCTCAAAAGGATTAAGCTCTCAAAAGTATTAAGCGCGGACGGCCACAAGAGCCAGCTGCAGACTCCGTACCCCATGGAGACTGGAGTAGTCCGACTGCAGCTGGAGCCCCAGACTGGCCTCAACTGCCGAGATATCGATTTCACATTCTTTCAGAACACCAGACAAGGAGCCATTTTCAACCCTTCCCCTCCCAGGGCAAGCGTAATTACACAGGATGCAATTAAGCAGGTGGGAAAATTATTGACGGCAAAGGCCAGGACAGTCTTTCTCTCTTTCAAACAGGCTCGCCAGTCCTGTAATTACTTGATGAAGAGCATGTATTTCGTGGTGGGCAGGACAGGGGAGCCACAATTACAGCCTCACATTTTAAGGGCTCCAAATACCACAGTACGGGGAGGAACCAACTCTGCCATGTTGTATTTCAATCACAAAGCTTCCTGTGGAGTGACAGCCAGCAGATCCACGGCCAGAGATCCAGATGGGATGACAAGATACAAGGTGTCTGAACTTACAACTATTCAGTAGGTCTCACAGGAAGCTGTTTCTTGAGCTTTAAAATACAGCCATTTTGAAAAACAAATTCTTAGTATTTATACAAAATTTAATGTACTCAACGTTCCCAGCACTGCTGAGGCCAGGTGACCGATGTGATTAATGGCCATGCCTTTCACAATATCGACCGAGCCGGGTGTGGTGGCACAAGCCTCCCAGCACTCGGGAGGCTGAGGCAGGAGGATCGTTGTGAGTTTGAGAGCAGCCTGGGCTACAAAGTGAGCTCAAGCCCAGCCTGAATTGCATAGGGAGACCCTGTCTCAAAAAGACCAAAAAAAAAAAAAAAATTAATCAGCTGGAGTGGGGAAGGTGGTCATAGCCATTATTTTTAAAAGGTCAGCCTGGGGCTGAGAATGTGGTGGTGTGTGTACAGAAGGCCCTGGGTTCGATCCCCTGTACCACAAAAAGAGACAAAGGGCCATCTTAAAAATTACTCTCCAGCTGGGTGTGGCGGCACACACCTGTAATCCCAGCACTCAGGAGGCTGAGGCAGGAGGATCCCTGTGAGTTTGAGGCCAGCCTCAACTACACAGCAAGACTGCCTCAAAAAGCAAAAACAAATAAAATATTACTATGCCAAATCTGGGGCGGGGTAAAAAGGCAACAAATGTAATTCCTCTGTCACAGGTGCACATCTATCCTAATACTATTAACACCCATGCAGTTATGAGAGGGAGAGTTTTATTGAGTAATGCCCCTGAAGGAATCTATTTGCTGTCTTCCCCATCATTTAAACTATTAATGTACCCTAACAACCACAGGAGGAAGGTACTATAATCCCCCATTTAGAGATGAGACAGGGTCTTGTCATGCAGTTCATGCGGACCTTGAACTATGTAGCCCAGGCTGACCTCAAACTCAGGCAAACCTCCTGCCTCAGCCTCAGTGCTGAAAGGTAGGGTTTTGAACCCAGGAAACATCTGGCTCACAGATATTTCTCCCTTACACCAAATACTTTCCTCCCTTCCAAGGAGTTTCCTTAATAGAACCTGACGGAATACACATAACTCATCCTCCAGGAAAAGGTGGCCTTCTGTCCTCTCTTCTGTTCTTCACTTTATTCTTCTCACCACTCCCTCACACCTTCCTTCATTCCAGTGAGGGCGCCTACAATTCATAGGACCACGCCCTTAACTATTTTAAGGCTTACCTGCATTGACCTGCGCCCCCATGTTATCTTTGGCAACGCCCCTCCCCCCCAGGCGGACAGGCAGGCCTGGCTGTGTGCTCCGTCCTCCCTCTCCCTCCCCCTCCCCGAGCCACAATCCAGTCCCTGTGAGATGTGCCCTGTTCAGCTGACGAAACCCAGGCTTGGGGCCGGGGATGTAGCTCAGCGGCACAGAGCCTGCCTGGCAAGGGCAAGGTCCTGAGTTCGATTCCCGGTACCAGAAAAAGAAAAGGGAAAGACAAAAGAAAAGAAATCCAGGCTTTCATGGGGTGGGCTGGTGTGCACACCTAGAGGCTGAGGCAGGAGGGTAACGGTGAGCTTGAGGCCAGCCTGAACTACATAGGGAAACGCTATCTCTAAAAAATAAATAAATAAAATTCCAGGCTTTATTTTACTTCTGCCTGGCCAAGTTTTGGACTGTCACAGGGACAGGTCTGAGACCAGGTTCTGATGATGCTAACAGCTGATCTTCTCTGGGAGGAGCCCTGGACATTTACTGCCCCGGCGGCGGCCCACAGCCAGCTCTTATCTCCACCTGACGGATGGGAACAGGGGTGAGATTTAAATGCCTCGTGTGAAAAGATCGATTGTAGAGTCCAGCCCTCCCAGCGAATGGCCGGTCCTGTGTCCCACGCTTGAGTGGCCCACCCTCTCCTAGGTATCATCAGCTCCTAAGAGACAAACTATGCAGCCAACTTGAATCTGGCCAGGTAATGCGGGTTTGCTTTCTTCCGCTTTTTTTTTGGAGGGAGGTCTATTTTTTGGCTCACAGAGCTTTGAAAATTTCACTTACTTGCCAACTTGAAATTTTCACTGATTCATGATTTCTCATAGAAACCAGAGTTCTCTTGAAAAATCACCAAGTGTGCCAATGCTGGACGGGCACACCTGTATGACCGCTAGTCATGCTGAGGCCAAGGCCACAGCGCCCCGGGATGGGCCACGAGTCTTCCCGGTGCGGCCACCCACCTGCCTCCAACTAGTGCTGAGACAGAGCCGAGACCCTGGCGCCAGCTCTCACTCACACACTTGATCTTCCAAACCCACGCCTCTCTCAGTAACAGGGAAAATCGACGGGCCATGGAGCTCAAGCTCTGTGCAGCGGGCAAGCATATACAGCAAAGCAGAAAAAAGCCGGGTGTGGTGGCGCACACCTGCAATCCCAGCACTCGGGAGGCTGAGGCAGGAGGGTCATTGCGAGTTCGAGACCAGCCTGGGATACAAAGTGAGCTCGAGGCCAGCCTGAACTGCATAGCGAGACCCTGTCTCAAAAAATGTCAAAGAATTCAGTCATTTTTCCTAGGAACTGTGACACTTCACTCTGGCCTGCAGGTGCCCAGTAGGTAACTAAAAAGGGAACAAAGCTTGGCCTTCATTTTGCATTCCATTACTGCAAGCCTCGGGAGCAATCTCTTCTCAGCTTTGCACACGGGTATGTCGATCCTTCAAGGAGCATCCACTTACAGGGCTTCATCCCAAAACAACAGGTTCTCAGGGACATTCATCTGCACCCAGAAATCTCCAGCCACTGTCCTGTCTCTGTCATCACCTGCATTCCAAGGAAGTGGAGCCCCGCACCACTGGGACCAGACAGACAGAGACTGCCTTCCTGCAAACAGAACCGCCCTCAGCCATGGGGACCCCGGAGTGATGGCCGCAGGGCTGAGATACCGATCAACTGGGCCTAAGCCTTGAGAACTGGTCTCTGCCTTTTCAGGTGGGCCAGTCTGAACCCCTAGATCAGAGTGTGCCCCCTCCAGCCAGGAGTCCTCTCCTACCTGCCCACTAGCCCTCCAAGTAAACATCTGTACCAGACCAACCCCAGCCTCATTCTCATCAAGCTGTCTGCCTGCCAGACAACACACATGCAGGACCCTTCCACTGGGCACCGACCCCACACCCTAGTGGACCTGATTGCTTTTTTCCTTTTTGGTTTCTTGAGACAGGGTCTCGCTAGGTAGTCTGAGCTGACCTTGAACTCACTATGTAGCCCAGACTGGACCCTCCTGCCTCAGCCTCCCAAGTGCTGAGATGACAGGTGTACATCGCCACACCCGGCTCCAACCTTTGTCTTCTTTGGTTTAACTTGGTGTTTGACCACTTACCAAGGGCCCCTGGGGACCACAGAATGGTGACTGCCACCTGGTCATGGCACGCATACTGGCTGATGGTGATGTTCTGGGCATCGGCAATCATGTGCTTCCCCACCGGATTCACGTAGGTGGTGCAGTCTGCAGAGTTAGAGAGTGCGAATGATTAAATTTTAAATTCATCCATCAAATGACACAGAGCATGTCTGGAGTGGCCAACTCCATTCTATTTCAAGACGTGCGCCTGAAGACCCCAAATATGAGCTGGGTGTGGTGGTGCACACCTGTAACCTCAGCCCTCTGGGAGGCTGAGGCAGGGGTATGAGCGTGAGTTTGAGGCCGACACGGGCTCCACAGTGAGTCCAAGGCCAGTCTGCACGACACAGCAAGACCCTGTCTCAAAACCAAACCAAACCCAAACCCAAAAGACCACTTTTACTTATTAAATGATTTGAAAGCATTCACTGCTATATAATTTGGGACTGTTTCTTTTTAGGTGAAACCTAGAAGACAAGGTCACTAGCAGGCAAGGAACATACAGATGTGAATCTGAGGGACAGTGATTCACAGCCCTGCACAAGGCAGGAACTGACTGGCTTAAGGATAAGGCTGCCCGCCTGGCATGATGACGCATGTCTGTAATTCCAGCACTCAGGAGGCTGAGGCAGGAGGATCGTTGCGAGTTGGAGACCAGCCTGGGCTACAAAGTGAGCTCAAGGACAGCCTGAACTACACAGCGAGACCTTGTCTGAAAAAGACAAAAAAAAGGATAAGGCTTCCAAAAGCATCTCCCAAAGCAAAATCATTGTTCTGGAAGACTACGTGTCATCAAAGACATGCACAAGTCCAACTAAATCCAAAAAGTCCCTGCCTGTAATTCCAGCACTAGGGAGGCTGAGGCAGGAGGACTGTTGCAAGTTCGAGGCCAGCCTGGGCTACACTGTATGAGGCCAGCCTGGACTACACAGATAACCAACTCAAAAAAAAAAAAAAAAAGCCCCAACCACTCCAAAAACAAAGCCACCCCTTTCTTTGATTTTTGTCTGAGACAATGCTCACTATTACCCGTCAGTATAGCCATAACCACACAAGCAGCTGCGACACCTGACACTGCTAAATACTTTCCAAGTCTGTCACTGTCCTACAAAGCTGCCAGAAGCTTGCAGCTAGTCAGTCTGGGATCAAACAACAGCCGTGAGCTATTTGGCCATCTTTTTCTGTTTTTCGTTTTTTTGAGACAAGTAGTTCAGGCTGGCCTTGAATGCATTTTAAGTAGTCCAGGCTGGACTCGAACTTGTAACAATCCCCCTGCCTCAGCCTTCCGAGTGCTGCGATTATAGGAGTGTGTCTTCAGCTTATTTATCTGTCTTGCAGGGGAACTACCAAGAATATCCAGTAGACAGCGACTCATAATTCTCACGGCAGTGCATCTCCATCTCTTTCTCACTGATTCTACTTGAACACTTTTTTTTTTTTTTTGAGACAGGGTCTCACTATATAGTGCAGGTTGGCCTTGAACTCACTTATATAGCCCAGGCTGGCTTCGAACTCACAGCAATCTTCCTGCCTCTGCTTCCCAGGGCTGGGATCACAGATATGCGTCACCACACCAGGCTATAGACACCCTCTTTGGTACCTGCTGCAAAAGATCTACACTTCATCCAAAGTCCAAACCTGCAAGGGTTTTTTGTTTTGGTTTTTCCTTTCTTCTCTGAGGTGAATATTCCAGGTTATTTTCTTTTGGGGGAGGTGGGTACTAGGAATAGAACTCAGGACCTCATGCTTGCAAGGCAGGTGCTGCGCCACTAAGCTAAATCCTTGGCCCCCAGGTTATTTTTTAAGAAACTCAGGGAATTGGTGGCATTTTCTCCCTGTAAATTATACTCTTAAGCTCCCAATTTTTTAAGTAAAATGTTGATTGAAGGCTGTCTGTGGTGGCATGTGCCTGTAATTCCAGCACTCTGGGAGGCTGAGACAGGAAGGTTCAAGTTCAAACCCAGCCTGGGTAACTTATTGAGACCCTGTCTCAAGATAAAAAAAAGGGCTGGGATGTAGCTGAGCACAAAGACCCTGGTTCAATCCCAAATGCCCCACACACACACACAAAAAGTGTATTGGAGACAACTGAAAACCACAAAGGAATTTAAGAACAATGTAAAAAAGCTAGGTATATTCTCTTACTGCCCAGAAGTAGTAATTCACCCACTAAGCAACCAATACGTGCTCTCTGGGTACAGAAGAGGTCTGGGATTGGAAAGAGAATTAAACATCTGGTGCTGGACAGATGAAACTGTGGCCAAGAGAGATGAACTCAGGGACATAGGAGCCCACTCCTGACCAGCCCGGAGCAGGCCGAGACAAGCGGCATCCCAGGGCTCCCCACACGTGTGCCTGTCGCCCGCACCAAGCACCTTACACTCACTAGCAGCTCGCTTACTCACTCACCTTGCACTCACCAAGCACCTTACACTCACTGAGTCAGGGGTGTTCAGCCTGCAGAAGTTTTGGGCTGAGACCAGCTTCCTAGCACTAAAAGCAAGGTTCTATCACACTTGTGAAGTTTCAGTATTTTCATCTATTGAGGCCCATATGTAAGAGAAGCCTTGGATTGAGCTGTGAACAGCTACACAAAGAAGAGTAAACTGTGGTTTTCTTTCCCTTTGTTCCTTCTTTCTCTTTAACAGGGTCTCACTATGTAGTCCAGGCTGGCCTCAAATCTGCACTCCTCCTACCTCACCTGCCCAAGTGCTGAGAGTACAGGTGTGTGCCACCCCATCCGGCTCTTTGTTCACTCCTAATGCCAAAATTAACACTCTCTGGTTTTCTGTAAATACAATTATGCAAATAGAAAGTCTAGGAATTAAAGAAATGTGTTATAACCTACTCAGACATACTCCTTCAGACAAACGGCAGAAGGAGGCACAGAGATTTACGGAATTCAGTTATGACTTGATGGTAAGACATTTTCTTTGTAACATTAAATGACAAAAGCGCCGGGCGTGGTGGAGCCGCCTATAATCCCCACAGCACTCAGGAGGCCGAGGCAGGAGGATCCCTGCAAATTTGAGGCCAGCCTGCACTACAAAGTGAGCTTAAGGCCAGCCTGAACTGCATAGTGAGACCCTGTCTCAAAAAAAAAAAAAAAAAAAAGAGACAAAAGAATAGAAAAATAAGACTTTGTAGTTTTGCTAAAAACCTGGTAATTGGTTCTCAGTTATTTCAAAGAGAACCGCTAACCAGTCAGTTGAGCAATAAAAGGAACTTCTTATAGAAGAAAAGTATCTTTTTCAATGGGAAACACGGAGTAAATTTTTTACACAGCCTGCACTTAATTATTAACAAGTCTAAACTTCTGGATTCTGGTTACCAAAAAATGTTATGCCCAAATGACATTTTGCCAAAATGCAGCTGAGCTTCAAACATCTTAAGATTCAATGCGAGCTGCGAATTAAATTCTAATTAAGTACTATAGAATTAAGAAGAAAGTGATGACTAAGAGACAGGCATAGACATGCGGGCCAAAAAATTTAGTACAATGGAAACAACAATATGATAAATTTTAAATTTTGCAGGTATAGATCTTTTCCCATAAAACCCATAGACAAGAGAGACAAATGCTTGTTTGCAGCTGACCGGAAAATTTTGAACTCTTGAATGTAATATAAGATCTGCTAAGACTAAAGGCGTGCATTAGAAATTAACTTTCTAACTCAAAGAAAGATCCCTTACACATGTCTTTACTTAGCTAAACAAAGTATCATGGACTTGCAAATCTTTCATTACCATCACAGCACTTACCCAGAACTTACACGTATCACGGTAAACCGTTGGAGTTCCATGCGTAAGTCCTAACTTAAAACAGCCTTGCTAGCAACTGTGGGCGTGAATTCGACACACATAATTATATCTTGAAATTGTTAGATTACAGCCATAACCTCAAAAACCCTGTCAGATAGTCAACTGTTGTGTCGATTTGAGTCCAAAACGCTTGATTGGTTTGGTATAGTTCTGGGGGTGACGGAATGGATTTGCTGAAGGTGGAAGACCCAACCCTGGGTATGAGTGGCACAACCAATATGCTTGTAGCCTGAATGACACTTAAAAAGGAAAATGGAATAAAAGAAGGCAGCCTCGGGCTGGGGATTTAGCTCAGCGGCAAAAGCACCTGCCTGGCAAGCGCAAGGTCGTGAGTTCGGTTCCTGGGACCGGAGAAAAACAAAAACAAAAAAACAAAAACAAAAAAAAAGAAGGCAGCCTCGCTCGCTTCTGTTTCTTCGGAGGAGCCCCAGTCCTCACATCTTGGACGTCCGTACCCTGGCTTGCAGTGCAGCCCCTTCCGCCTCCTGATACAGACTTGCAGGAGACTCCACAGTGAGCGCCAGCCTCTGACAAGACCCTCGGGATCTCCAGCGGGCAGAGGGCAGACAGCCCTTCTGTATTCCTTCACACCTGACTGCCAGCGGTCATTATAAGCCTTCCTTGTAAATCCTCACATACTTAAACATCTCAAATTCAATCTGTTTCTCAGGCTGAGGATGTGGCTCGGTGGCGGAGCACTTGTCTAGCATGCTCAAGGCCCTGAGTTCAACCCTGAGCACCACAAAAACAATCTGTTTCTCTAGCAAGCACTGACTGACACACCCTGCTGTAGCAGTGATCATTCCAGGGGGCTCCCCGTCCATGGGACCTAAACTCTTTATTAACGCTGATGCACAACCTTCCCCAATCCAAGAGGTGAATCCGGTACTTGGGGTACTCCAATGAGTCCAGCTCATTTTGTCATTTTTATGTCTAAATTACAACTCAGAAAGCTAAAATGCTCACAATTCTATATAATCATCTCCTTGTGAATGAAATTAGATATTTAAAGGGATCAATCCTATAAACTTCATCAGCAAAAGGACCCTTACTGTATTCTGAGAAAACAATTCAGTCAGAGGCGAAAAGGGTCACATTTTGTTAAAAGAAAGGGCAAAGCTGGGTGTGGTGGCGCACGCCTGTAATCCCAGCACTCGGGAGGCTGAGGCAGGAGGATTGTTGTGAGTTCAAGACCCGTCTGGACTACAAAGTAAGCTCAAGGGCAGCCTGAACTGCATAGCGAGACCCAGTCTCAAAAAAGACAAAAAAAAAAAAAAAAAAAAAAAAAAGAGAAAGGGCAAGAAAGGATGCTTAGATTATTCAACTGCTGTTGGACTAACTTCTAATGTCAATAGCTAGCTTTCACTGAGCATTCAAGGCAGACCAGCTGTCAAGATGAGCAAATATAAGCATTACTTCATGTAGGCCTCAAAATAATGCTAAGAGAAGAAAACGAATCTTTTGTTGTTTCTTTTCCCCCTGTGCTAGGGATCAAACTCAGGGTCTTGCCCGCATGCCAGGCAAGTACTGTACCAGGGCAATACCCTCAGCCCAATAATCTTTATTTTGAGCAATCAAGTCACCTGCACACACAACTGGTAGATGGGGTTAGTACCTAGGCAGAGATGACAAACCAGAAATTCCTAAGCCCATCTGAACAAAGAGCAATTTGACCTACTCTGTGTGTGTGTTAAAATTTTTTAATAAATGCCAACACAGTAATACCTTGGTCCACCAACACTTCTGTTCACCAACAATTCAGTTTTCAAACAAGCGTTCGACAAAATTTTGCTTCCCTTCACAGACTCATCAGGGAACAAACACAACTGCAGCCGTCTTCCCCACACAAATGCAAATGCGCCCATCTTCCCCAAAATCGTAAAATATCTTAAGTGGGTGAACCAAAGTACTACTGTACTAAAAAAAGAAACAAAACAAAACAAACACATACACACACAAAAAAAAGACAACTTTCTGGATATTCCTGGAAACCACATCTGGCTACATTCAGTGGGAAATCCTCCAGACTACAGTTTTGAATCCAGAAGTCAGTGCCTCTTTCAAATCAGACACACACAAGCTACGGAGGTCTGCCAGTTACTACCTCTCCCTAGCATCCTGCCTGTGGGCAGCGTTGTTCCTTTGTCCCGTCGGACCCTCCAGAATTTTGTGTTTTTCATCAGGGCATGTCCCTTGGAACTCAAGGAAAGTCTTCATAGCTAACTTTTCTGAGCACTTGACCTATTCAAGCTGCCAAATACGTAGTGGCTTAATCAAGAATGAGCTGCTTGAGCTATTGACCAACCTGAACAGATTCAGAAAATTCTTCAACCCCCGGACCTGCCGCCCTGTCCTTGATTAAGCACAACTGAATAAGCTGTGGATTACTGAAAGGGCTCCATTCTCCGCAGTCAGGCCAGTTACTTACTGTCATATCTGAAGGTGATGTTGTACAGCCCGCTGTTCCTGCTGGCTGGCCCCACTCCCTGTGGGAAGACAAGAGAACATGATGCACGGTGGAGCCCACTTACTTCTGCAGCACAAATCCCCCGGATCTAAATGCATGCAGCGCTGGCTCCAGAGACAAGGGTGGGGCCAGTCCTAGAGCATCATCTGTGTCCCTGACCACCCCCGCCAAACACCCTCCAGTCCAAGACATTCAACTGCCAGGCCACAGGGATCACGGGATCACCGCCCCCAAGACAACAGGAGCAGACTATTGTGGGTTTAGGGGCTAAATAAGTCATTAATAGTTAAAACTGGGAGAGACGAGGACAGCCAGCTGGAGCCCTTCCAGTTGGATCTACGTTGAGCGCTGATTGGTTGTAAAGTTCGCCTACCAGACACCCTCATCCAAAGCTCTAGCAAGGCAGAACAGACAGGCAATTCCTCAAGTCAAAGGAAACCAGTTTCTCATTACAAGACTAGGAGTGAGTGTGAGACTAAGCCATTACTTTTAATGAGAAAATTCTTCATTTCATCCACACCTATGCTGGAATACTCAGGGTGGGGTCATAAAAGAAAAAGACTTTAAACTCTTTTAACTTTTGGTGAGGTGGTCATTAGCCATCTGCACCCTAACAGAAGGTAAGGACTGGGCCAGGCTTCCCATTCCAATTACAGCATCCACAGAGGGAGCGACCAGAGCCTCCCACTACCCCACCTTTCCCCGCCCGCTGCTTATCCATCCCGGGAACTAGCTACACAGATCTACTGACTCTGATTTAACTGCTTCTCTAATCATCTGCAAATGTGCCATTCCGTATTAATTGCAGAATTCTCTTAAAATATGTTAATTCTGAAGTGCTAAACGATGGGAAAGTATTCTAACCCGCAGCTGAAGTTTCCACTGAAGAAGAAGGGTGTCGGGGGAAACCATATGCTGGCAGCCTGGTATTTAATGGGCAATTGTTACACCGCGACGCAATGCGGAGAACACTTCTGATGGGGCCCAGGGTTTCAACCCACAACCGCATCACGTCTACATGCTACAGGCGTGTTCACGCTGCTTACCCTGAAGCCAGGCCCGCCCACTGAAACCATATCCCCAGCCCAGGTCCACGCAGGCCTTGGGAAGGCACAGCTGTGTGGAAAAGGAGACAGTGACACTGACACACACACACCCCACTCTACGGGGAGGGATAACTAAGCAGTGATATAAAACCTAAACCATAAAGCCAGCCTGAACTGCACAGTGAGATCCTGTCTCAAAAAGACCAAAACAAAAAAGGAAAAGAAGAAAAAAAACTAAACCAGCATGGCGCCCTGGCCCTGGCGGGACTCCCTTTCTTCCTGGTCCAACTTTCTTCTTCAGTTTCCTCCTCCCACCTCTTCTTTCACTCATAGGTAAGATGCCGGAACACCTTGCTGGAACTGAAATTTTGGAAAGTGCTGTGACTTTATTAAAATCTTAAAAGCGGCACAGGTGCACGCTTATAACCCCAGCACTCAGGAGGCTGAGGCAGGAGGATCGTTGCAAGTTCGAGACCAGCCTGGATTACAAAGTGAACTCAAGTCCGCCTGAACTGCATAGTGAGACCCTGTCTCAAAAAGACCAAAAAAAAAAAAAGAAAAAAGAAAAAGAATAAATAAATAAAATCTTAAAAGCGGCCTGGCGTGGTAGCACACGTATGTAATCCCAAACTGAAGCTGGAGGATCACCCTAAATCTGAGGCCAGCCAAGGCTACCTAGTGAGACCCTGTCTTTTTTTTTTTTTTTTTTTTTTTTTGTTTTTCTCCGGTACCGGGAACCGAACTCACGACCTTGCACTTGCCAGGCAGGCACTTTTGCCGCTGAGCTAAATCCCCAGCCCGAGACCCTGTTTTAAAAAAAAAAAATTCCATAAGGACAAAGCCACAGTCTGTGCAAGAGGCTAGCCGCAAAGTACAGACCTGAGAAACAACCAAGCAGGAGAGCAGGAAGCAGGCAGTACAGTTCACACAAGCCTTTGGGAAGGTCCGAGACCAAAGCCCAAGACCTCTAACCCATATCTTCTGCTCCCTTTGCAACAGAAACTCGTTCACCCTCTACGATGAGCCAGACGTCATGCCAGGGGGAGGATTACTGGACAGGAAAGCAGAACAGCCTCACGGGAGGGGAAGATGGACTCTAGAGCCCAAGGTGAGCGCCTCTGGACAATGACCAAGGGAAAACCATTCCACTCTACTGCGTGTGAGTCTGCTCAAATATCTGGTTTCTTCTTAACAGAATGTGTGCAGCTTTGCTCTGAGAGGGGGTTTGAGGCCATGAAACCACGTAGAAGGAAGCACTTCAAAAAAGGAAACACAGGGCTGGGAAGATAGCTCAGTGGCACAAGCACCTGCCTGGCAAGTGCAAGGTCCTGAGTTCGATTCCCGGTACCAAAAAAAAAAAAAAAAGAAAAAGGAAACACGCTCCATTTAATAGCACATTCCAAGGTACCCAGGCACACTGATAGCCAGCCACCTTACTCGTGGAACTTGGTCAGTTTTTCCTGTGTTTCTACTGCTCTTGTATCTGTAGCTTTTGTTATGTTTCATATAATATACACATACACATATATTTCCCAGCACACTTTGAACAGGTATTCACTGGGCACTTCTAACAGCTAACTCATTGTGAAGAGAAGACGAAGACAGAGAGATGCACATGGAAACCTACATCCCTCCAAACAAGGTATCTGTGCTATACGCGGGGCTGTCAGGGCCAGGGAGCTGGCCCTAGCATGGTGAGGCTTGGTGCAGCATCCATCCACTTCCCACTCATCAATTCAGCGGGTCCTAAGCTCCCTTGAGGCTGAGAAGCAGACGCAAGTCCAGACCTCAAGCACCTCTGGCCATGAAGCTGAGCTGCAAACATGCACATGGACCCTCACGCCCCTGCTCCAGCCCGCCCCCGCTCCAGCCCGCCCCCGCTCCAGCCCGTAACTGGTTCTCTGCACCTCTTGACCACCGCCCCTGAGGCCTCTGCCCACTACCTTCCCAGCCACTTCCTCCCCCAACTTCCAAACCCCTCGAGCACCGCAGTTCTGCTCAGCACATGGCTGCACCCTCAGGGACTCCTGAGGCCCAGCAGTGCCCTTCTTTCCTCCTCACATCTCCCACAACTCCCTTCTGGTCCCCCAGGCCCTGCTCCCACAGCGGCTGCCTGTCTTGGGGAAGCCCTGTTCCCATTGCCTGTTCCGCTTGAGAGCAGCAGTCATTCCTCCCCGCAGCTCCACTGACATGCACTTTCTGTGCATGTGAATGTGAAATGCTGATTCCAATTCCACATTCCGTAAGGCCCGGTGACTGCCCAAGCCCGGTCACGGGGCCCAGAAACAAGAGACACCATCCCAGACACCGGTTCCTATCTGTACTCCTGGAAGGCCTTCGGGTGCACAGCTGCTGGGCACGTGGGCTGTCCTTGGCTCATAAAAATCAATGCCTCAACCGCTCGGGAGCCCTTAGAAAGCTCCTTGGAACCATGTGCCCAGGATATCCCACAGCACAGCGCTGTTCTATTCAGTGGCAGACTGAATGACAGCCTGCCAGAGATGTTCATATTCTAGTACCAGAACCTGTGACTATGCTATTTTACGAAGCCAAGGCATCTGCGCAGGTGTGTTTAAGGATGCTGAAATGAGGAGTGCACTCTGGGCTGTCCAGGTAGGGTTCTCATGGGAGCGAGACTGAAAAGTCAGTGTCAGGAGAGAAGATCCGACCGTGGAAACCAGGTGGGGCTGCAGATGCTGCACTACTGATTTGAACTATGGGGAGAAGAGGCTACTAAGACAAAGCGCATGAGCAACCTATGGGCTGGAAAGAGCGGGGACGGGCTCTCCTCCACAGCCTCGGAAGAAACCCGGCTGCGGACAACTTAATTCTAGCAGCTGAAGACCCACTTTGGAGTTTGGCCCTGCAGTAGTACAGGATAATGGGTTGACTTCACCTTAAGTCACTAAAACCATGGTAATTTTTCATAGCAGCAACTGAAAGCTAATACACACATGTATTTCAATCGTAACACACGTGAGCGGAGTCTCAGTGTCACACACGTGGTACGTGGTAGCGTTCATTCTCCCTCCTCCACACCCGAAGCCTATCACCCGTCACACGGCAGTCTTGCTTCCCAGCCTCGGACAGACATGAGACGCGGATGGATCTGAACTGCGCTGGACAGTCAGTCTTCAGTTGTCCTGTCACGTCTGCCTCTGTGTCCTGAATCAGTTCACCACGTTTATTTTTTATGGTCACTTTGACTTTGAGGAAGAGCCAGAAATGACACAACGCCAGATCTGGTGAATCCGGCGGATGAGGACACATCATAATATTTTTACAAGTCCGCCTTCTTGTTGGATGGCGCTCGGCGGCAGCATTCGCAGAGTTTTTTATCACACCTTGTGGAGACACTCACAACAAGGCTTCCGGAACTGCGTCGGAAAATGCCGAGTGCACGGCCTGGAGAGACGGCATGAAGAATAATGTGCTCAAAGTGACAAAGAGGCATGTGGGGGAGTTAGTGGCCATGTGTCTTTTACTATAATAATTTTTTTAAGTTTAAACATTCACCACCTGTTTCGATTGTACTGCAGTATTTCAGCCAGCTAAGTTAGGTAGAAACCCTACAGGCACACAGACAGGGATGGGCCCCCGAGGGGTCAGCGCAGAAGACCACTGTGGCTGGAGGGAACTCACTGAAGGCCAGGCTTCAAGAAAAAAGGAACTACTCTCAGTACTTCCCCTAGGGGTGAGCAGCAGTGATGGAAGTTCTGAGTAGGCATCCATCACCTGGGGGTGGGGACCAAACCTCCTAGCCCGCCCTTCCGGGAAAGTCCTTGTCCATCCCC